CTTGTGGGTTCAAGGAAGGCATGCATTCACGTTCTGTGCCCTAATGCTTTAAGGAGAGCTTGGCTCCCGGCATGTGGGATGCAGATGGACTGTGCACACATTATGGTTTTAGGTTAAAAACATATCCCATCAAATATTTATTGAGCCACGACTATGTGCCATGTCCTATTCTAGGCTGTGGCAGTAGAATTCTATGCACCAGAATAAATGCAAACAAAACCACTAGCTTTCAAACCCAACAGCCCACAGTTAAGAGATTGGAAAGGAGAGGAAGCCTGGGCACTGAGCCTCCCCTCTGTGTCTCACCCAGCATCTGAGGCAGGGCATCTGAGCTCCCATGTGGCAGTGTGTTGGTGAACTGTGGAGTAAATCGAATGAATGTAGACAATCTATTAAGGCAATATAAGGAAAACCTCCCCCCCTAATTCTTGGAGGCAGATCACTGTCTCAGCCCTTCTGAGACAATCTTGGCCAGTATGGACTGCCTCACTGAGAGTCCGAGGAGGTCATGACTCAGCCCTCATCGGGCTGGCTGCAGATGCAGCCTGCTCTGCTGATGTTTAATCAAGTGGAGAGATTTAACCAAACTTATTCTTGGATGGTGTGTGGGTACCTTCTGCTCCTCTTGCCTGAAATTCTCCTAACACGCTCTGAATGGTATACCTTTCTGGATTGGGGCATCTCTCTTTTGAGCATAGAATGAAAAATCTCACAACTTCCAGTTTCTCAAATGAGCCAATGAAGTGGCTTTCTTAGAGATTATAGGCTGTTCTTTTAAATTCAGAGCTTGTTGAAAGAAGCAAGCAAAGCTTTAAATATTACAAATGCTTCTGATGGAAGGATAACAAAGGTGTCAAGGATCTGACAGACTGTCGTAGCATGCTCTTTTCGCGTAATGGATCCTTTTGAAAGCCCATGTTTCTGAGCATGGTTTCACCCTTCTAGGTGCCTCCTATGCAAGTTACATCACCTTGACAGAGCTAGTTCTCTCACTGTAATAAAAAACACCCCCACTAAGTGAATCCCCTAAAATTGTGTGCTCTGAAACAGATGACAGCTGAAATCTGTTGAGAGAAACAAAAACAAATGATTGATGGGGATTCTGAGAACACTGCTGTGTGGGAAGAATTCTTTTCACCCCCTTATTGGTGTGGTGAGAGGTTGTGGTGAAGTAGCTCTTCCTCTCTGAGAATAGCCTGACCTTCTCCTTTCATTCTCACACCTGCTTTACCAAAGCCGGTATTTTCCTTCAGCAAAAGAGAGTGGAAGGTGCTCTTCAGGAGGGAAACCCACTAAAAATATGAGCTACCAACCAGTAGCTGAGGTTTTGATAATGGACCTTGCAACTACCAGAAAGGTATACTGTATCAGGAAAAGAAAATCCCTAAGTGTTAATGACCTATTTTCTTTCATTCTAGATTCTTCTCTTTTTTCTTCATAAGTGGACCTCATTTGTTTATTTTTCTCTGGAGTATTATAAAAATTCTAAGAGCTATTGAACACCATTGATGCAATTTCTGTTTCACCAAGTTCTTGTGAGCACCATGGGCTTCCTGTTCCCATTCTGCTCCCAACGCTGGAACTCTGGCAAGCAGCCCAAGCAGGCAGAGGGTCGCACCCAGCTTTACATGACACTGCCCACGTAACTATCATTCATCTCTTTCCTTCTGCTCTAGACCCCACAATAAATTTAAGAGGGACACTGTAAGCTCAAATTCCTGGGATTTTTAAGCAAGATTTGAGTATGTAGTGTGTAGTCCTGTCATCAAAGACTTGGGTAACTTTTTCTTTACTGACTGTTCCACTTGGCATTCAGAGACTGGTATTGATTCTGGGAACATCTTGATCTTAAACTTGAAAGGTTTGAGTTGCTGGTCTCCTAGAAACGCTCAGACCACATGTGGAACTGATGACAATCAGTGCTGTGAGCTAGCCTTAGAACAGAATAAGGACCTGTAATTGAGAGGAAATGACAGACAGTAGAGGGGCTTGCTCCTTGCAGGGTTATAGCGAGCCTCAGAGTGCTTCCACCTTGACGGCATAAAGTGCTACACAAATGTAGGTGTTATCAAATGTCAGGCATTACCTTAGGAAATCCAGATCATTCCTTTAGTTTCTAAGGNAAATCCAGATCATTCCTTTAGTTTCTAAGGAAACTGGGAAATAAATTCCATTCCACGCATTTCATAGTTAGTCATGCCTAAAATCTCACTTAACAATATCATTCAACCACCACTTACGTAAGGTTATCTTTGAAGCTGCAAAGGGGATATTAGTAAATCACCATTAATTTAAGCTCTACTAGTTGAGCTTAAGTTTGCTTTTGTCCCAACTATACTAAAAAAAACTGGGTTGTTAAGCAAGTCAGTGTGTAAAGATGATTATAGGGTTGTGCCTATGTTCATATAGTATGTGTTTTATAGATACTTGCAGATATCTATTTGCACATAAATGTAATTAGGAATTTGTTCATGAAAAGTTCCCACATATCTTTTTAAAAAGTCCCAGGCCAACTGTTAGTTGACAAGACTTTATTTGCATAACTGTTACACAAGCTATTTTCCAGGTAAATGAGGTATTCCTATATGTAAATCCTCTCTTGATAGTATTTTAATAGAAAATGAAGCTTAAGAACAATGTTTCATTAAGCAGAATTTTCAACACACACACACACACACACACACACATATATATATATATATATACATTTAAAAATATTTTGCCTAAAAAGCTATTCATGCTTCCAGTGGTAAGCAACATATGATTTGAAAGCAAGAATTTATCGTAATGGCAACAGTTAGAATATCACTTTGAGGAAATTGTGGGTTTTCCAACTACAAAGTTAAATATAGTCTAATTTGTAATACCAACCTCAGCATTTTGTCACTTTATCAGACTGTGCCTTGCCATTAATGTGGTTCTGATTTAATAGAATTTCTTCAATTTAAGGCTTGAAATATTAGCTAGTATTGTAATAAAAGAGTTCATTTAGCTTTTGTTTCCATTTTGAAGCCTTTCCAAAATACCTTTCTTCTCCCTAGCTAACATGTTACACAGCCCACTTCTTCACAGGTTTACTTCCCGGGTGGTGCTTCTGGATCACTTAAAAATGTTACTTGTATGATATTTCAGTTACAGGTGATAAAATGTATTTGAAAATAAGGACCTATTCAAATTATACCCTGTTGGGTTTTTAAAAGAGCAAAACATAATTGCCCTTAGAACTGTAATTTTGACAGCCAAGAATGAGAGTTTGAAAATTTGATGTTAATATTCCTTTTCCTGCAGGGTTGGACTACTCCCCTCTAGCGGGCCAAGCAAGTTCCCACAATGCCCAGCCTCTGAGTGGTGCTTCTAGGACTACGGGGGATAGAATTACCCTATGTGCTGGTTTTAAGGAATGGGGGAGGTTAGGGAGGAGAGGGAGAAGGAACCTAGGGGCCTATTCCTGCTCTTTGTGTCTTTGCTCTTAACCCCCTTGCCCATTATAGGAAACACAGGGCCAACCACAAAACACTAACCTGGCCCCGCTGAGAAGTTGGGAGAAGTTGCTGAGAAGTTAAGAAGTTGCCGTGTGAACCTCCCATATGGCTAGTCTCCTGCACCCTGTATTGAGTATCAGGCATCATATATTCCCAGGTGCCCATGTATCCTGGGAAATGACCTATTCTGCTCTAGTTCTGTGCCTATCTATAAGTTTGTTCCAGACCCCCTTTCCCTAAAGAGCTTTTATCTATTCATTTATTCTATAAACTTATCTACCCTAAAGTATTAATAACAACCACAAGTATGATGATGCAAAGCGTGCTCTAGAGCAATGCTGTCCCACATACCTTTCTGTGACGATGGAAATGTTCTATGTGTACTTTCCAACATGTCAGCCACTGGCTATCATATGGCTACTGAGCTGTTAAATGTGGCTGATGTGACTGAGGAACTCAATTTTTCATTATATTTAACTTTAATTTAAAAGCCCCATATGTGACTAGTGGCTACTATATTGGATAGCACAGCTGTAGAGATTTGTATCTTAATGCAAAGAATGATAGCTGTGGGGGAAATGTAACTGGCCAACAGGCAGGCTGGCCTTGGTGACCCCTGCAAAAGCCCCTCCCAGAAGGAAAGGCAATCCAGGTCCCCCACTGCCTGGCCCTGCCGGGTACCAGTGGCAGACTCAATTCAATAGAAAATGTTTCAAGGAGAATGTAACATGCTCTACTATGATCTGCCTATTTTGATACCATTTCCTTCTTTTTCCCTTGCCTTTTATCCCCCTCAGGTTTCAAAAGAAGACTTTTTGAACTATTATGCTGGTGTTAGTGCTTCTATTGACACGGATGCCTATTTCATTTTAATGATGACAAAATCCTGGAGATTATAACTTTTGTCTATTCTTTTGGAAATAAGGGACTCAGAGTGAATAAATTTCAAAGAAGTATGATGCTACAGATTTTGATAAGGTGTAAACTAAAGTTTCTGAAAGATCTGGGATTTTAAAAGCAATAGATCTTCGGTCATCTTAATTGTAATAATTAAAGGTAATTGTAATAATTAAAAGGATTATAGGATCATCTGACTATACCATTTCCTGGGCTCATTCATTTTAATGTTTCTCTTGGTAAATAAAGTAAAACGTATTTAATTTTGAAATTTAATGACTTCTTTGGTTGCTATTCATATTTTAATTCAGGATTTATATTCAGCAAATCCCCACACTTGCATGGGCAGGGGACATAAGTGATTCTGTGACAAAAGGTAGGTGACTCTGTGGCCTTCTGGGTTGAAGGCTGGGCTCTCATGGGGTGGGATCACTTACTAGATTAGTCTACTGGGATGAAAAGCAGTGCACAGAGCAAAGGAAGTGCCTATTGGTGTCTTCTGGAGCTTTAGGGTTACCAGGGAGGAGGGCTTTGAAACTATTTTAGGAATTCATCCTTTGAACCCACTTCTAAGCTCCTCTCCAAGGGGCAGTGATATCAGGTTTTCTGACCCCAAAGCTTTCCCTGTAAAAACTGCTCCAGTAACATAAATGGCTATAAATTGATTACATACATACTCATAGGCCCTTCATCTTGGAAAAGAGTTAAAACTGAGGGAGAGGAAATAGAAGGCTAGCACTCTATTTCTTAAACTTTAATG